GTTCTTAGAAGATACCGTCGCAATTATATTATCCACCCCATACAGGTGGGCCTCGAATTTTTGTCTTAAAACTCCAATTTTTCTTTATAAAGAAAAGTTCAATACAGTTTTTTTTATTTACAATATACACTCAAAGAGTATATAAAAACAAATTTGAATCCTTTCGGTTTTTTTTTTGTAATTTGAAATATTAAAAGTTGAAATTAAAATTAGAAAAGTATTTGTTTTTATCATCTTTTTAAGCCTTTAGAATTCACTTCACTTATTCACTTATTTTGATATTCCAAGGGAATTTTTTTAGAAGTTATAAAAAAAAAAATTTTCAAAATTTCCTCATAAAATTCCTTCCGCGTTGCGATTTACCGAGATAGAATCTGGCACGCGTTGGCAAAATGATTGTAGAGTCTTCTTGGTGACCCACTTTATATGTCAAGTCGCAGATTCACCGTAAAATTCCTCTCTTTTATTTATTAACAAAATTTTTGTTTAAACAAATTTTTTTTTAGTTTAAATTTTTTATAGTTTAAATTTAAATAGTTTTGTTTTTTTTTGTAATTCCGAATTTAGGGGAATATGATTTTTTCCATATTCAAATTTAAATTGAAAAATTAAATTGTTTTTAAGATTCTAAGTTTTACATTTGATAAATTTTAATGGAAAATGTTAACTATTTAATAGTAGAAAAAAAAAAAACTTGTTTATTGCATAAGAGTAATAACTTTTCTCAAGAAGGTATTCAATACATAATTGGCGACATTTTCAAGGACGAATTTAGAATCCAGCTTTCTCGATATGCAGTAGAGACTTTCTCCTGAATTTGCTATTCATGGATGAAGGTGAATGCATGGATCTTACTCTCCTCGATATATATAGTTGATGAGACTTTGTGGCCACTTGAGATAATCCCAAAGTTACAATTACTTTATAAAGTGATCCCCGACCGATATACAAAGTGGTTGAAAATCAAATTTCAAAATTATCTTAATTAAAAAATTTTACGAAACGTTTAATATTTTTTTTTCGATCATTGAAAAAAATGACTTAAAAATGATATAAAAAATTTTATTTTCATTTAGACTTTAGACTAAAAAAAATATTTATTTGTTTATTATTAAATATTTATTTTATTATTTATTTTTTTAGTATCAAATGATATTTGAAATTATATTGGTTCAAATACAGTTTATTTAATTATTATTTGATTTCGAAAAATTGTTAATATTTATTTGATAATGTAAATATTTATTTGGAATAAATTATTTTTTTTTCCGTATAACTGATATAAAGAAATTCAAAAATTCGCATTTATACAGTTATAATTTTCAAAATGAATCTTTTTTTTTCAAAATGCAAACTTGAATTTTCATTTTGCCTTTTAGTCGCAGTCCAATATAAGACGCCATGTACATATGTAGATATAGGTCTGGTAATCGAGAACGCTCGACTTTTCAGTGACTCTCAAACCAGACGTATATATATATGTATATAATATATATAATTTTTAACTCGATTTTTAACTTCTTGCAGCAATTTTTATTTACAATAAAATATATTTGATCAACTTCTTTTGCAAAAAAGAAGAGTACGCGCCGAATATTGTGAAATATAAATCAAAACAATTTCAATAAAATTTTATAATTTTAAATTAGGCGAGAAATTTTTGTAATTTGTAATTAAATTTAGTTATTGTATTTTTTCAGTTAAACATTGAATAATGTTGGTATAGTATTTTTCTTCTTGTGGAGATATTTAAAAATTTTCCATTTAGATCCTTCGTTACCAAGCCAAGTTATCTTATCTGAAAGATGACTAGCTGATTTCGTTTCTAAAAGATTCTTAGTTTTCAAGGTACATAATATAGGAATAAAAAACTTTAATTTACCTGAAATTTTTTTTTTTTTAAATAGTCTAATTCGTTAGTTTTTTTTTTGGTAATTTTTTTTCCCCTTTGTGAATATCACTTTCTATAGGAATTAAATCGATCTTTCTCTATAATATAATGTAGGTCAATGTTTTTCATAGAAAAACAAATTCCAATTGCAAAATTCGAAAATTTTACTATACAATGTTTAATATAATACCCGGGAGAAAAATCTTGAAAGAAAATTCAGTCAATATATAAAAATGTAGAAAATATGTTTTGCAAGGGATTTGAGGGAAAACAACAGTGGTTCTCAATTCTCTATTTGATTTTTCCATTGGATTGTTTTTTTCACTTTTTTTTAAAAAAAAACTGTTTCGTATAGTTTGAAGGTGTGATAAAACAATTTTGCTTCTGTTAAAAAAGCCTTATTTCGACCTAGTAGTGAATATGTGGCTTGATTCTATTCGTGTCTTCGGTTCGCATAGTTTCGACCGAGCACAGCCATACTTGATCCACGTACGAATTGATACTCGAGCTACTCAACTTCCGCCTACTACTATGCCAAAGTCACACAAGTTGAAATATTATCGCAATGGCAATAAAGAAAAAGAAAAAAAACCGAATTTTCCATGTATATTATTTTCTTTATATGGGGACAATTTTTTTTCGTTTTCAATTTTTTTTTTTGTTACTATTACATTTCGATGGAATATGTAATTTTTTTTGAATTTGTTTTTTCATTTCGAACGCAATTTGTTTTATTTATCTAGAAAAAAAAAAAATATTTTGATTCAAATAATCGGTTATTAAATAAATATTTAGTGGAAGCAAATAATTTTTATTTGAATTAAATAAAGTGTATTTGAACCAAATAATTTTTTAAATTAAATAGTGTATTTGAAGCAAATAATTTTTTGAATTAAATAAACTGTATTTGAACCAATGTATTTGAAACAAACATTTAATTGATTCAATAATTATTTAGTTCAAGGAAATATTTATTTTGTTTAGTTGAACCAAATAAATTTTTTTTTCACTGTATTAATATTCGTTGGAATTAAAATGTTTTATTTAAATGAAAAATTTTATTTATTTATTAAAATTTTTTATTAAAACATATATTATTATATTGTATTTTCAACAAGTTGATTAATATAATAAACTTGTAAATTATGAAACTTTATTATTTCAAATATTTTGTATAAAATTGAAGATAATTTCTCATAAAATGAATAATTATTGTGAAGTACGGGAAAAAAAACATTTACAAGAAAAATTCTTTTTGAAAAGCATATGTGTGTGTGTAAAAAGAAATTCATTTGAGTTGGGGAAAACTACATATTTGAAAAGGGATTCGACTACAGGTTTTACAAATGAAATTCTTTTCACTTCGTTTGAATTTCTTTTAAATTCAAATTGCCTTTTTTTCCACCCGTGTTTTATTTTCCAAAGACCTCTATATATATGTATAAATTTTTTGTTTTATAACTTTCAACAGACATTTTATTACATAAAAATAGTTGTGTTATTTTTCTTAATTTGAAAAAACAAATTTGCTAAATTTCGAAAGAGTATTAGGTAACTTATTTGATTAATTTACTGGATAATAATTAAGTAAATAATTAAATAACTTATTAAATAAATAATTAAATAACTGATTCAATAATTAAATAATTTATTCAATAAATAATTATATAAATAATTAAATGATAATACTGAGCAGAAGAATGAAAATATTATTTTAAGTGTAGAAATTAGTCTTATTTTAAAATACAAGATTTTTACAAAGCTGAAGTACGCAACGTTTATGATAAACGATTTTTAAAGAAATAATTTTTTAAATGAAAATTTTTATAATTTTTTGCCGAAAAAATATTTTTGTATAATTTCTTGATTATTGAAAACTACAAGAAATATTTTTTAGATAAAAAATTGTAGAATTTTTCATTTTTTTAAATTATTTCTTTAAATATTGTTTATCATAAACGTTGAGTACTTCAGCTTCATATATTTTTTTGAAATTACAATAATGTTAACAATAACAATTGTTATTAACAAATTAATAATATTTATTTATATAAAAATGATATTAACAATGAAATTTTTATTTTTTGTTTCAGTAAGTGAATATAATAAAGAATTAAAAAAAAAACCCCGTGCAGTACCGGTGAGTAAGGAAAAATATGTTGTTTTGAATACTTTGAATGAATTTTGGGATGCTGGTCAAATATATATATATATACGTATATAGAAAGTAAGGTTTATGTCCAGTTGAAAATTCTGGAGGTCTGGCAACCCTGTTTCCATCAGAAACGAACAAGAATCTCCCGGTATGGCCGATCGAAACTCCTTTTTCCAGGCCTATTTGAAAAATTTTCGCCTAAAGATCCTAATTATGTTTCAAAAAAATTTCCCATAAAAATGATTTTTTCGTTTAATAATTTACCATTTCAAAAATTTGAATAAAATTATTACATGACTAACATTTTTTTATAGAAACAGAAATTTTAGTTTTCTATTTATTTTGTGTAATTTTGAACACGAGGGAGAAAAATTAATTCTTAGAAATTAAGAAAATAATTCTACAGAATGATAAGGTAGCTGCAAATTTTTATGTGGGTTTTAATAAATTCGAAAAAAAAAATTTGTGGAAATTTATCGCAAAATTTTTTTTTGGCCAAAAAAAATTGTTAAACATTTTTCGTACTTTCTTTCTCCTTTAAATTTGTTTATAAAATTTTCCCCTCAAAAATCTTATTAATTACTATAATTCAATTAAAAAGAAACAGTCATTTTTTTTTGTTTTGATATATTGAACAATTGCGAGAACATGTAAATCTAAATTTGAAATGTTTCTAAATAAAAAAGACAAAATTTTGCAAACACCGGTGGTCTTAAATATTTTTTAAGATTCAGGAATCGGAGACTCCACCTGAATTCGATCCGATATGGATCGAAGTCAGCCTCTGTCGGTATCAGAAGTCTAGGGCAATTATTTACATATATATATCCTCTCAAAAAAAAAATTTTCCAAGAGAATTTGTATTTCTTTTTTCAAAAAAAAAAAAAACAAACAAAATTGACAAGAAAACTCGGTATACCATTATGGAAATGAATCTCGAAGGTTACTACTCACGTCATCTTGTTGTCGATGGGATTTTTCTCGTCTCTCCGCAGGTAGTTTGTGTATACGTAATCAGGATTTTTCAGGAGCGTATTTTCACACAGTCACTGGTAGTTTTTCTCCAAAAAAAAAAGAGAAAATTTTCCTTCTTATGAGAAAATAAGGTGTGACACACAAAAAAAAACTCGCGAGAAAAAACACTCACATCACCACTTGTCACTAGGGACCCAACCCCGTTCCGACGGAAACCGTACGGTATGGTTTTCAACTGTGGCCGACGCTCATCGCGCCACAGTTTAGAAAAAAAAAAATTTTTCTTTTTTTGTCACACAGCCTCCTTGGCGCGCGAAAAATCACCTATATACTTTTTCTTTTTTGTTTTATTATAAAAGAAATTATTTTTTTTTTTATCTTGCTGCTGCGTGCAAGAGAACCACGGGTGAGGATCGAAAGCGATATTATAGGAGAGATAGAAAGAATGAGAGAGAAAGAGAGAGAGAGATAGAAATAGAGACAGAGACGAAAAATGTCTCTGACCTGAAATTTTGAACCCTTGGTTAGTTGTGACTCGATGCAGCGAACTTTAGCGACTGAGAGCCCAACACCATGGGAGTTGTGCCTCACGAGCAACAGTGCTGGCAATTTAAGATGAAAATTCCTAGAAATGTGACTATCAACCTGAATTTATTTTATATTTTTCAATTTGCATTTTGGATATTTGCAATTAAAAGTTTTCTATTTGCTAATCAATTTTAATTTTTGATGTTTTAAAATTAAATAATTAAAATTAAATTATTTAATTTTCATTTTTTTTCCAATTTTGATAATTTTAAAAACTATTCCACTCAAAGTAAATAGAATAATTGTCAAAAAAAAAAAAATTCATTTCGAATTATTTGCAAAATGTATTTTAGGTTTATTATTATGCTTTTGTTGCATATCTTTACAGATTAAACCCTTTTTGTCCAAGAAATATAATCCAATAACAATAGTTTATGTGGCTATTTTTCTTGGAAAATTTTCTACGTAATTTATGATTTTAAAGATCTTTTTTTTGAAAAGCATGAGGAATATTTTAGTTTTTACCTGCGTTCTTATTCAAAAATTTAAATTTCGACTAATTTATGATACACCCTTACTCAACAAAACAGTAAAAAAAAAATTTATTTGATTTAAATAATCGCTTACTTTACTATTATCAAATAAATATTTAGTTGAACCATGTATACTTTTTATTTGAATTAAATAAATTTTATTTGGACCAATAATTTCTGTAATTGAAACAAATACTTTTTAATTGATTCAAATAATAATTATTTGATGTAAATAAAAATTTATTTGATACTAATTTAGTAAATTAATTAGTAAATTAATTATAGTTAATTAATTAGTTAATTAATTAGTTAATTAATTAAATACTAAATAAGTATCAAATACCTAAACATTTATTAGTATCAAATAAATATTTATTTGTATCAAATAATTATTATTTGAATTAATTACTTAAATACCATTTGTTTCAATTACAGAAATTATTGACTCAAATAAAATTTATTTAATTCAAATAATAATTATATATGGTTCAACTAAATATTTATTTGATAATAGTAAAGTAAGCGATTATTTAAATCAAATAAAATTTTTTTTCAGTGTAATAAGCAAAGATTGAAAATACACTTTTGGAATTGATTTTTTTTTTGAATAATTGGTTCTTTGTAAATTTTTTTTTCACTGAGAGAAACGATTGGTTGCAATTACTATTTCATTAGTAAGAGTATTTTTGCTAAATTATATTAGTCACTGTTACCATTTAGTTAGTCAGCCTAACCATTTTGTTAGTAAGTTAACTAATTAAATAGTTACTCCAAAAAAATAATTAATTAGTTAAACCAACTAATAAAATAGTTATGCCAACCAAAAAAAATAGTAACCATAAATAATAAATTAGCAGCAATATAGTTTACTAACTAAGAATGATAACCCCAACAAATCTTTCCTTCAGTGATACAATAATTATTATTAGTAAAAAAAAGGGCTTAATATAAATGTAAAATTTTCCTGAAATATGAATTTCAAAAATATAATATAATAATAATTATTTAATACGAATAAATATTTATTATTTATTTGAATTATTATTATTATAATTATTATAATTATTATTTGATTATTATTTGAATCAAATAATTTTGTTTTCTAAAATTTTTGAGAAATAATAATATTTTATAAAAATAAAAACTATTATAAGATTCAAATTTAAGAAATTTACTTCTATAATAGAAACTACAGTTAAAAAAAAAAATTTATTTGTTTCAAATACTCGATTACTTGACTATTATAAAATAAATATTTATTTGTATCAAATAATTATTATTCGAGCCAATTAAATTGTATTTGTTTCAAATACAGAAATTATTGGTTCAAATACAATTTATTTAATTCAAATATAAAAATTATTTGGTCCAAGTAAATATTTATTTGATAATAGTCAAGTAATCGAGTATTTGAATCAAATAATTTTTTTTTTCGTGATCATCGTCAAATAAAATTACATTCAGTTGAGAACCTCTGGTATCTGACTCGAGAAAAATAACAAGTTCGGGAATTATTTTCTTTAACGTTGGCAGTAACGTTGTTTTGTTATCGTTGGCAACTTTGCCATTGGTCGAATTATTTATGCACCTAAAATGGTGGCAATTGGCGGCAATATGTTCAATATTTATTTTATTTTTGCTTTTTATAAATAAAATTTTGTATTTAAAACACCATTACGCATAAGATAATTAATTATCTTATAAAATTTATTTATGAATTGTAATTCGTTTTAATCTCCTCTTATTCAATAGATTAGAAAAATAGAAATTATTTTTTATTTGTATTTTACAATATTGTAAATGCATATTATAATAGCGTGTGAAATAACAAAATTATTGCAAATATAATTTGTATTTGCAACCTTTTGTTTCGAAAATATTAATATTTACTCGAATAACAAACTCGAAATATTTTGCGGGAAATTTTTGAAATCAAGTGGTAAACCTGTTCTCGACAAAAGCCGAGTTTTCCCGATTTGGAATATAACGCTGTTCGACTTTTCTAACCTGTCGTTCTGATATGTATATAGAATTGTCAGTGTAGAACTTGATTCGATCTGAATTATAACAAATGTGGACAAAAATTGACGACTGTATATTGTCTAGTGAAAAGTGGTGAAAAAGAAAAAAGAAAATTATTTTTTTTCTAAGAAAAAAAAATTAGTGCTTGTCGTTAAAACAACGACTTTTTTTTTTACTATTATTCATCAATTTGAACGACGTCTTTTCGCCATTCTTTTGGAGAAAGCGGATTGGCGTCACGAGAAACGCTTTGAAAATGAAAAGCTGAGAAGAATACACACCTTTTCCAACCACGAGGTAACTTATCTCATGATTTTTCTATTTTATTCTAATTATATTTTCATTTATTTTTTTGCTCTAAAGAATTTTTGGGTATTTTTTTTTTTTTTAATTAACATGTTGCGAGAGATTTTTTTTTAAAAATATTATTCATTACAATTTTGGAGTTTTTCTGAAAATTGAGAGAAGATTCTGTGTCGAGATGAAATTATATCAATATGTGCTTTGGAATTTATAAATGAAGTAAACAAATTTTATCAATTTTTTTTTTTAAATTAACAATGAGTAGAAAATAATCCCCAATAATTGAAAAAGGTTGATAAAAATAAAGAAAAAAAATTTTTTTTTTTTTTTTGAGAAAAATATTGGATTTTAAATATTTCTCTCTCAAAAAAAAAAAATTAATTAATAAAAAAAATAAATAAAAAACATAGTCAAATGAAAAAGGTTTCAATTTTTATATCTTTTTTTAAAATAAAAAAAAAATATTTATATTTTTTAATTGAATGAATATAATAGATATAATAAATAATTCTATAGTGAGCAAGTAAAATTGTTTATTTTTTTTTGTGCTGCGTAACTTTTTCGTGTGTGAATTGTAGTGTAACTTTTTAATAAAGCCCGATTAAAATGTAAAAAGCTTGAAAGCTTCTATATTTTTATCACATTTTTTTTTTCATTGTTTCCTGTTTGCTGAAAAAGCTACTAAAAGGACCTCATTATTTTTTTTTTGTGAAATTTTCAAAACAAAAGAGTATATAAATATAAAAAAAAATTATATATTTACAAATAAAATAAAAACAATGTTTTGAGTTTAAAAAAAAACAAACAGTTTCTCTTATAAAGTGTTAAATCACTAAATATCAAATTGTATCTTTTTAGAGAGTAAGAGAGAGAGAGAGTAGGGCATTTAATTTTGGATTATTCGTCAGAGACCTAAAGAATGTTAACCGTTACAAACGCAGTTATAAGAGCTTCAATTAACTTTGTTGATGAATGGGCTTCTATATCTTATTTTTAAGATTGCACTTCACAGTTTGCTAGATAAACAATTAGACCCGATGTTAATCTTGACTGTTCTGTTTATATATATATATACTGCTCAACATTTTCTATAACAATAAAATTATAATTTTTCAATAACAATATTGAAACTAAATTTTTTAAAAAAAAGGTTCGAAAAAAATCAAAGACATTGTTTTAATTTTATTTAATTAATTTATTTTTAATTGTATATATTTTTTAATTTGTAAAATTTTTAATACTGATTTTTGTTAGATTTTTTTTTTTTTTTTCTTATAAAACAAAAATTATTTCGAAGTTTTTCATTTTTATTCGCGAAAATATTTAACAATAAGTATTTTTATATATTTGTTTTGAATTATTAAAACTCCCTTTTGCTCACATGTTCCTGAGCTTTACACACTATGTATAGAAAGATCAATTATAATCGAGGAAACTTTTTCATTTTTTTTTTTTTTCTATCAAAGGTCATTTTTCTATAAAGCACAATCAAAAGTTAATATTTTTCTCTCATTCATGTCCTCATTTTTATTCAATATAATACACCCAGAGAAATGATTTATTTGAACTATAAATAAAATATATTTGAGTTAAATAAACGTATATTTGTCTCAGAGCCTACTAAATTATTTATTTGGCGTAATTAAAAATTTTATTTGTCATAAATAAATTTTTCTTTGGCTCAAATAAATTTTGTATTTAAATGAAATAAAATATAAATAATAAATATAATAATAAAAAATAATAAATTAATAATAATAAAAATAAAAAGGGGAAAAACCAAATGAAGTAGCGAAGAGGAAAAAATAAATGTCGCGAGATTTAAACTCATTTAAAAAGAATGGGAAATACCCACTGATACCTTCTCTTTTTTTCAGAATTGAATTTTGTCTCATTCTATTTTATTTTTATTAACTATGCAATTTATTTTATTATTATGTTTTTATTCGTCTATTAAACGCAGCATTCTTAGATTATTCTTTTTTAGAGTGAAAGTCATAATAAAGAGTATACAACCTTCAATAGAAAATCTGATAATCAAGATTGATAATGCGGTTGAATCAGCGTCTTATAGAAAGGATTTTTTTTTTTTACAAAATCTTGATTACATTATTATTAAAAGACTTCAAATCTCAGAGAGTATTAATAAAATAAAAAAAAATATTCATAATTTCCTATGAGGAATGAAAAAGAGAATTGTGGTCGTTCATAAACCACGTGGACATATTTGGGGGGTCGGGAAGGGGGGGGGGTGTAGAAAAAGTCCACGATTGTCCACAAGGAGGTGTTCGAAAAATTGTCAACGTGGACATTCAAATAGAAATACAGGTATTTTTATAAGGAAAATAATGTTTTTTATATAAAATATAAATATTAATTATAAAAAATTTAATAATTTCTGATTTTAAACATATTTAAAAATTAATAATTTTATAATTAGGTAATAATATTTAATAAAAAATAAAATTATAAAAAAATTTATTAATAATCAATATTATTACATTATTAATAAAATAAAAAAATAAAAATCATTTAATTATTAATAAAAAAAAATTTTTAATCAAAATAAATTATTAATAGCCATATTAATTATTAATAACTGAATAATTAAACAATGTTGAGATTTACAGATAAAATATTTAATCAGCGTGATAATAATTATACTGAAAGCATTATATTATAATCTGGGGGTGGGGGGAGAAATCAATATTCTTGTCAGATAATATAATTATAAAAAAAAATTATCAAAATTAATTATCATCAAAAAAAAAATAACCACGCGATTTAATAACTTTGTGTATAAAATTATTAATTTACAAAATTTAATTAAAGGACATTAGTTAAAAAAAAAATTAAACGATTATTTTCATGTATAAAATTTCGAATAATATTTGTTTTTATATTAACATGCATATATATAGTTATAAAAAATAAATTCACATAATTTCTTTTATGATTTAAGGTCATTTCGTAACAACCATAATGTTGGATTTTATTTTGAATTTTAATAAAAGCAGAACGTTGTTTACGATCCATTTGACTTTACATTTTTTAATATATCGTTTAAAAGGCATAGGAGAAAATATATGTATATATATGAAAGTTCTTACTGTATATAGAAGCTTAAAAGGGCTTTTCATGGATTTAACTACACTCAGAATCTTTGTTTCTACTGTTTTTCTCCTCTAGTGAATATTAATATTTTATTTTTATATCTAATCTTAGCAAAAAAAAAAATTTGTTAAAAAAATTATTTTTTATTAATAATTTATTAAATTATTATTTATCTATTTATTTCACAATAATAATAATTATCATTATTGAATAGAATTATTCAGATAGTATTAAATTTTAATTAAAATGGGGAAAAAAAATAAATTAAATTTTTGTTAATAAATCTCTCGCAATTTGTTTTTTCGCCAAATAATTTTGACTAATATATGAATTTTTTTTTGTAGAGATGAATGCATCTCGGCTCGGCAGGGGCCGGGGTGGCCGCCTGGCTTTATATGGAGGTATCCTAATGATTTTTGTAATAATAATATATCTCTATCGAACTGCTTCATCTGAAATGGCCAGGCTTCACGATCTTCATGTTCAATGTGTTCATCAACAAGAGGCATTAGCCGCTCAACTTCAAGGTTTGTTAACATTTTCATAAAAAAATTATATAATTTCCATTTTTCATTATTTTACTTTTTATTATTAATTTATTATTTTTTATTATTTATTTTCTTTTAAATTAATTTTTAATCAATTTCTAAATTTAATTTTTTATTTTTTATTATTATTCATTTTTATTATTTTATTTTCTAATTAAAAGAAATAAAAATCTAATTTCTTTTTTCTTTTTTAGTAATATACGAATACAAAGTTCGTCTCGAGAAATCATTGCAAGAGGAGAAAAATTCAAATCAAGCACTAAAACAAGAACTTCAACAACGTGCCTCGAGAGAAAAATCTCTCAGGGACAAAGATAAGGACAATGTTGAAATATTGCAAAGGTATAATGCGATGCAACAAAAGTATAATATATTACAATCGGAAAATAAAGATTTACAAGATGAATGTAATAAAAGACATAAACTTTCATTGGAGGAAACAAATAAATTGGAAGTGACATTAAGAAATCTTCGTAGTGAAATTAATAAAGCACATGAAGATAAAAAACAATCAATGGAATCATTAAAAAATAAACACGCTCAATTGAAAGTCGAATATGATTCATTGTGGAATAAAAATGAGAAATTATTAAAAAATTCAACTGAATGCAATAGTCAACTACTTCATTTGGAAAAGAAAGTGTTTCAATTGAATAGAGAAGGAGAGGCAAAAGTAATTTACTAAATTTTTTCAATTTTATTCATAGGAAAATTTAAAAAAAAAAAAAAAAAAAAAATATTGTGCGCTCAAATATCGAAATTTAAAAATTCAAATTGATTCAAAAATTCTGAAAAGATAAAACGTTATTGTTTAAACGTTTAATTTTTTTTTTTCATTCTTCATAATTCGAAATATTTTTAAGTATAGAGTTAAAAAAAAATTATTAAAAGAAAAATTTTTCTTCAAATATATTTTTCAAAAATGGCTAAATTTATTTTCTTTTTATATATTTACCTTTCCTTTTGATCGATAATTGAATGTTTAAAGTTCGATATTTTATTTATTGTGAATGAAAAAGAAAATAATTTAGAAAGATTTACAAAAATTAAAATTTTTAAAGTTAAAAATTAAAGATAAAAATTAGTTACAAAATGAGAAATTCTAAAATTACAATTTTTTTTTTATTTTTTAAAAAGCGCAAGGTTTTTTTTTTGGAAATAATATTGTTTTTACAACTTTAGACAACAGTTTATTTTATCTATTGAAACAAAATTTAATTCTTAGAGAAAAAAATTTATTTTATTCAAATAATCGGTTACTTGAATATTATCAAATAAATATTTACTTAAACCAAATAATTTTTATTTGAATTAAATTAATTTCTATTTGAACCAATAATTTAATTGGCTCAAATAAAAATTATTTGATTCAAGTAAATATTTATTTGATAATAATCAAGTAATTGAATATTTGAATCAAATAAAATTTTTTTCCTAATGTCTTTTTTTTATTATTATTATTATTATTATTAATGTCTTTTTTAAGTATCAAGTTGTTTTTTTTTCTCAATAAAATTTGTTAATAAATTCGTGTTTAGAAAACAAAAAATATTGATAAATTTTAATTACACTTTTAGAAAACTGTTGTTTCCGAGTACAATGGCGATGCAATAGCTGATAATCAACAGGAAACAGATCATGAAAAATCGAGAGGAAATGAACAAGTTATGCGTCCTGTACAGCCATCATCATCACAACAGGTAAGTCGTCCTAACAACGATGATGAAAATCCACAACCCTTACCAGCACCACAACAACATCAACAACAACAGCAACAACAATCAAACGACGATAATAATTTAGATAAAAACGACGGTGTATTACCAAATGAGCAAATAAGTGATATTGCATTTGCTCAAAAAGATGGTAATATTGTACCAGTTGGTCGTAATGATCCTGATTTAAAGGAACAACAAAATATGGTTCTACCTGTTCCTTACAATGATGATAATTCAAAAAGAATTGATAAAGAAAATGAAATTGAAGGAATTGAAAGTCCTATTATTCATAATAATAATAATAATAATAATAAAAATAAATTAAAATTAATTGAAAATAATTCAGTTTTGAAAATGCCAAATGAAAAATCATCTTCCAAAGGACCAAAATTGGCTCCAATTCAACCGCAAAGAAATAATGATAAAGAGATACAATCATCACCTATTGAAAAATATAAAAAAAATAATAATGACGAAAGTCCTCGAGAAGTTGATGAACTACAATATTTGAATGACAGGGTGGTGCTTGGTCTTTTCAGTCATAAGCTTTAATTAAAAATTCTTGGCCAATTAAAAGTACATTACACTCGATACCTCGCTGCTCTAGATATTATTATTATTATTATTATATAACAATGCAGCTACCATTATATAGACAATAGAAGTATAATTGAAGAAAATTGGTTCTTTCGTGAAAAAAAATTTATTTGCGAAAGGAAGCTGTAAAAATTTTATTGAATTGCATTTAAGAAAGTTTATAGAAAGTTAAATGTTAAATTAATTATTTTTTTTTTTTCAATAGTCAAAGTCTAGATTTTATTCATGTCATAAAAGGCATTAAAAAATAATTCCATAAGAAGAAATTTTATTAGTAAATAAAATAAAAAGATATTAAATATATATATATATTTTATAAAAATAGTTAGAAAAAATATTTTTAAAGCAATATTTGCTGTTTTTAATTTTATTGGTAAAATCCAGTGCATTTTTCTTTTTTTTTTAAACTGACTGATTTATATTTTTTTTGTATTTTAATTTTTTTATCTAAATTTTAGAATTTTTTTTATATTTGTTTTTATATTCTTTTATAAATCGTTTTTTTTTATTAGTTTTTATTCTTTTATTCCACTAATTCCTAAAAAATTGTTTTAAAAACATTTTCTATTTGTTGAACTAAAAAATTTTTTTTACACTCTCAGAGAGTTGTTAAAAAAATCAACTACATAATTAAGTGTGTAGTCTGAAGAATAAATGTAATTTTTTGTGTTATAGAATGTTATATTTAATAAAAAAAAAAAATCTTATTATTTTTATTTGCCTGTATTTTTTCTTGCACCCTACGCATCTATCTCTATCTTTTTTTTTTTTTAAATTAGAGTAATTCTTTTCATTTGTTAATATTTTCTGTAATAATTATCGCAAATGTTTACTAATGGCTTGAAAAAAATCCAAGAAATTAATATATTAATTTTTATTTTAATTTCATTTGATTTTTAAAAAATTTAAAAAAAAAATTTTTTTTAATGAAAAAAGTGATTTTCTGTGTTTAGTGATTCTTCTCAGCATGTGCTTCAAGATTTCTTTGTTGTGCTTTGAATCTCTTTTTTTTGCTACTGTATAGCTTTTAGTTTGTGTTTTTTTGATTTTGGTAGAGGACTTTTTTTTTCAAAATTGAAGCTTCTGCTTGATTGTTTATTTACAGAGAGGTAAGTAGTTATTTAAGAAAGTAGATTTAATGAAACAGAAATTATTTTCTCAAAAAAAAAAAAAAAAAAAAAACAAAAAAATAAGATAATACATTTTCCTTTTTTTTTTGCAGAAAATACCGACAAGTGTGGGAAAAATTCCACCTGGAAATATTGAAAGTTCAACAAAAGCATCGACAGCATCAATTTCCGGCGAGAAACCAAATATTATTGGAGGAAAGACAAAAGTTAAATTACCCATTGGTGTTGTACCAATTCCAGTGATAATAGATTCAAAAATTGATAATGATGAAAAAAAGAGAGACAATGATGAATTATTGTTGAGAAAAAAAAATGCGGAAATAATTCAAAATTCATTAGCGAGAAATGTTGTCTTTAATGATGAGCAGGATGTTAAAGAGAAACCTGTGGCTGTGGATATTGGAAATTTAGAATTTCAAGCTCATTTACCAGCAGGAAATAGACATGGGGGACAAATTATTGACAGACAAATTAATGCAGGATGGCCTAAGGTACAACATGGAGTTCAGGAAATTGGCGATGAGCCTCATCATTTGGGAAGACTCGCTGGGTAAATTCAAATTTTTTTTTTAAATTTTATTCAAATTTTCAATTTAAAAAAATTTTTTAATTTAAAATTAATATTGCAAAAAAAAAATAATTATTAATTTTCGATTTACAGATTAGATGATACGGCACATCAGGGTGAAATTGGAGATGATCAATATGATAATGACGAATTTTATCGAGATCAACAACCCCAGAAAAGTGATATTCGACTAGAAGAAGAGGAAGACGAAGCCGGTGGTATAAAATAATTTTCTAATTATTTGTAATTATAATTTAATTATTAGTTCTTTATTTAATTAATTATTTTCTTTTTTTTCAGATGAAGACGATCAACCGGATTATTTAAACAATCTAAAACCCGAGAAACACTAATTAAAAAAAAACAATTTGGAAATATTCCAATTTATCAAAGAAAAGAGTTTAAATATTGCTTGTTATACGACTGTCGATTTTTGTAAATAGACATGATAATATTGTATAAATCAATTTATTTTGAATTTAATTTGAAATTTAATTTTTTTTGATTAATATTATTTTCTTTTTAAAAATAAAAAAAAAGAGATAAAAACAAAATAAATTGATTTAATATTATCTTTTTTTCGACAAAGCCTAACGCATAGCGCCTATATAGATTTATAAATATTTAAAAAAGAAATACAATTTTTTACTTTAAAATTGATTTTTTAATTAAAAAACGATTTTTTTTATTTAAATAGGTTTTTTACATGATAGTATTAAAAAAAAAAAATTTACTGAAACTTTTTACTTAAATATAACTTAAATGTACAAATTTATTTATTTCTAATTGTTGGTGAAACTTTTAGATAAGAGATATGAAAAAATTTTACAACTCTGGAAAATTTGCATTACGACTTAAAAATTAATTTTAAGAATTTTTTATTAAAATATATAAATGAAAATAGTGTAATATTTGTATAGGTATATAGATCATCTGAATAATGACTGCGATGCAAATGTACATAACATTCAATTTTGTAATAAAATGAAAAAAAATGTTGACAAATTTTTTTGTTGTTTTATCAAAAAAATTATGAGAATTGTTTCATAATTTTTTTTTTTTTTACTTGTTTTTATCTTAATTTTTAGTACAAAAATTAATTTTTATACTAAAATTATTGGTTGAAATTTTTTTATATTTATATGTTTAAATTAAATTTTCAAATTAGCTGTAAATTTCTTATTTGTTATTCCGATGACTAAGACGAAATTATGATTACATAATCGCGACAAAAACATATATACAGTTGCTTTAGTCATTCCGCGAAATAATTTTCATAACTCGCCTCATAAATTGGATGCAATGATCTTCGACCTGAAATCGTAAATATTTTTAGTGATAAGCGCGAAGATATTATTTTTCATCTCCTCGATTTGTCGCATCTGAAATTTCCTGAATACTCCATTTGATTTTATTTAATTTTTAATTATTTTTTTTCTTAATATATTTTTGTCAATATTGTTTGATTGTATTTGTAAAAATTTTATTTTAATTATTAAATTTTCTTAATTTAAAAACTGAACTGGTTTTAAGACTCAATTGTTTAAATTTTTCCGTTAAAAAATTAATTTTATTTTTCATTTAGAAATAAATAATTTCAATTTGAAAATTGTTTTTGTATTTCGTTATAAAAGAATTTGAGTACCAAATACAATGAACTTATAAACTATAATGTAGTGAACTTTTCACTTGAGGTTATCAAATTGCTTTCTAACTAGGTTTTCCAAGCTTATTTAAATTGAGAAAAAAAATTTATTTGATTCAAATAATCAGTTACTATTATCAAATAAATATTTATCAAATAATTGAATTGAATTGTATTTTGAAGCAATAATTTTTTTTTATTTAAAACAAATACCATTTAAAATAAAATAAAAAAAATATAAAAATAAAACTATAAAAATTATTTGTTAAATAATTATTTGGTAAATATTTATTTGATAATAGTAACTAATTATTTGAATTAAATTTTTTATTTCTCTCCCCAATATGATTTAAAAATAAATTCTGTTGTACAATTTTTTAAAATTTGACGAATATCTTATAGAGGAGATATATATATAAAAAATGACCTATTTTTTCCTAATTATGTTTTTATTTTGTGGCTTTATCATATTTGGTCCATAGGTCACTGTTAATGAATCTCTATTGAGAATGTGAATTGAGAGCTACTAAATTTGTTTTTTATTTAAAATTATATGATGAATATTTCGTTGACAATTTTCTTCGTCTATGATTCTGAATGAAATTTATATCAACGTAATTGTCAAATTATGTTATTATCTTGTTCTCGTAAACTAACATTTATGACATTAAACAATTTACACACTCTTTCTATGAACTAGTGACAATAAAACTAAAAAAATTTCTTACACCAAAATATTTTTTAAAATTATTATAAAAAAATTTTGAATTATTTCTAAATTGATATTAGGAAAAATTTATTTATACATAAACGGGCTTTAAATAAAAATGTAATATAAAAAACAATAAAAATTACAATTAAATTTTTTTTTTAATTTAAAATTAGAAAATACAATTTTTTAAATTTAAAATTAGAAAATATAATTTTTTAATTTTTAATTAAAATTTTCTTTATAATTTAGTGAATTTAGTTTATTTGAGAAGTATTTTTGTTACTGAGAATTAAGTTGTTATTATTTTTATTTATGCATTACGAAATCTAAAATTAAAAAAAATGTTTTATTCATTGGTCATAGAGGGAAAAACCTTGTGTGACCATGATAGAGCGATATAAAGTTACGTCATTTTGATTAAAATTTATGGTTTCTCTCAAGGTTCCAAAAAATCAAAAACCAAACCAAGATTTATTAAATAAACGTAGCAAATTTTCATATACGGATAAAAAATGTCTTTGTATTAAATTCGATATTAATAATATTAATATTTTTAATATTAATTTTTTTATTGGAAATATTAATAAAAAATATTAATTTTTTAATATTTAATATTAATATTAAAAATATTAATTTTTTAATATTTAATATTAATATTAAAAATTAATAAATAAATATTAATATTATTCCAAAAAACTTAAAGAAAATTTTTTTTTTATTTCATGATAATTTGATAAATTATTATTATTTGAAATAATTAATTACTCGAAATTTGAAAATAAAAAATAATTCAAATTTATACGTAGCAAACGATTTTTGGTTTTTAAAAATAAATAAAATGTTTTTATAAATCCAAAGATGTAACAATGTACTTAATTTTAATATGTGTAATTTAATGACACTAAACTATATTTTCGAAATAACAAACCCTATTTTTATTTTCATCTTCAGAACCATCATAAATATTAAAGTAAATTATTATTTTATTTGTGAGAAGTGTAAAGAAGTGATCATTGGAAGAAACAGAATGTTATTAGTGTTTCAGTGGGAATATAAAATAAGTATTTGTAAGTGTGATATGATGACGTAATTGTTATCCGACTAAACCTAAAGTCTTCTCAACGACCTCAACATTTCATCCAGTCGTGTTCTTTCAGCTTTGAAGGTAGGCTGAATTTTCTGTTTTTAATATATAAATGAAATTAAACAAAATTTTTAACAATTTAAATTCTTTTTTTTCTATAAACAAATTTTTTAACAAATAAAATTCTTTTTTTTCCATAAAATAAATAATAATTTATTTTTGCTGTATTTTTCTCTTTATAAAATTTTTTAATTTGAATTCATTTAATTGAAAAGAAATCATATTTTTATTTTTCCTTGTTTTTTTTTTGTAAAATAGAAAAAAATTTTTGTTTTTAAGTTTTATTAATAATTAATGAAATTTTTTTTTTAAAGGCTGTAAGGATGAAGCTGTTTATCGTTTCAACGTTAGCCATTTGGCTTTTGTTAGCATATTTAAATAATGAAGTTAGTGCTGTAGATCCTCATGAGCATAATAAAGTGGTTTGCTACTGGAATTCCACTTCCTTTGAACGTCAAGGTAAGTGCTAAAAATTAACTATGTATATTTAAATTGCTCTAATAATTCAAAATATGTATTACATAAGTTTCCTATTTTTTTCTTGCTCCGAAGTTTTTTTTTTCTAAAAGAATAATAATTTAAAAATTATTTTTACTTTATAGTAAAAAAAAAAAATAATTTTTTTTTATTATTTTAATTTCATCAATTTAAGTATTTTTAATTATTAATAATGTAAAAAAAATAAAATTTGTAAAAAATAATTTTTTAACAGTTCAAGATCGGACAAAAAAAAATAGCAAACCGGTTGAATAGAATAATAATAACAATTATTTGCATAATTTATTCTTGATATAAAAGAAGTGTCCTTATACTTTCTGGTATGACTGAGAGAATAATCTAAATATAAATTTTTGAATAAATTAATAATTAATAATTAATTTTTAATTAATTGATAATTAATAATTAAATTATAATTTTAAATTGTTGATAATTTTTGGTGGAATAATTTTTCAATTTTTTTTTTGTTTTTTTTTCTTCATTTCAAGGACCTGGAAAGTTTATTGTCGAAGACCTTCGACCGGCTTTGTCACTATGTACACATTTAATTTACGGATTTGCTGGAATTGATGCAAATACTTTTAAAATTGTTCCATTAAATCGAAATTTGGACACTGGCGATGGATATGCATTTTATAGAATGGTAACACAAATGAAAAGGAATTTCCCCGATCTCAAAGTTTATCTTGGAGTTGGTGGTAATGCTGATCCATACGAGGAAACACATAAATATTTAACTCTCGTGAGTAATTAATAATTATCTATTTTAATCTGAATAATAATAATTATTTATGATATCAATTTTTAATGTGAATAATAATTATTTATGAAAATATGACTTCATTACTATTTGATTTTATAATTTTTTTTTTTATAATTTCCTTTTTTTCTTCCATTTTAGTTTTATGAGATTTTTTTTTGAAATTAATTTTTTCCCTTTGAAAATTTTTTTTAAATAAATAATTATAATAAATTATAATAATAATAATAAAAATAATAATAAAAAAAAATAATAATAATAAAAATAATAAAAATAATAATAATAATAATAATAATAATAAAAATAATAATAATAATAATTTTTTAATTTTTAACAGACTGAAACTTCAGAGGCGAGAACAAAATTTATTAATTCAGTTGGTGAAATTTTATCAGACTATGAATTTGATGGTATTGATTTGGGATGGCAATTTCCACCAGTTAAAGTAAAGAAAGAACGCGGTACATTTAGTTCAATTTGGCATAAAGTGAAAAAAACTTTTGGCTATGGAAAATTTAAAGATGAAAAAGAACAGGAGCATCGCGATGGTTTTACAGTGCTTGTTCGTGATTTGAAAAATCAACTTCGTGCTAGAAATAAGGCACTTACATTAACAGTTTTGCCACATGTTAATTCGAGTGGTATTTATTTATAATTTATCATTTAATTTTTTTTTTCTTTAAAATTTTAATCAAATTATTTGAAATTTTAAATTTGGAAAAAAAATTTTTTTTTTTTAGTTTATTACGACGTGAGACTTTTGGCACCGAGTTTGGATGCTGTTCATTTGTTGACATTTGATCAAAAAACTCCGGAACGTAATCCCAAGGAAGCCGATTTTCCAGCTCCACTTTATGAAAGCTACGGACGTGTTTCCGATGATAATGTCGACTATCAAACGAGGTGACTGATATAAAAATGAAAAATTTTTTTTATTACAAAATAATTATTATTAATTATTAAAAAATTATTTAGTTACAAAATAATAATTATTAATTTAGGGGCCTAAATATCCGTTAATAATTGTTATTAACTATTAATAATTATTTAATTACAAAATAATAATTATTAACTATTAATAATTATTTAATTACAAAATAATTGTTATTAATTATTAATAATTATTTAATTACAAATATTTGTTATTACTAATAATAATTATTTAATTACAAAATAATTATTATTAATTATTAAAATTATTTAGTTACAAAATAATTGTTATTAATTATTAATAATTATTTAATTACAAAATATTTGTTATTAATTAATAATAATTATTTATTACAAAATAATAATTATTAATAATTAATAATTATTTAAGTACAAAATAATTTTTATTAATTATTAATAATTAAAATTCATTAGTTACAAAATAATAATTATTAATTTAGGGGCCTAAATATCCCTTAATAATTGTTATTAACTATTAATAATTATTTAATTACAAAATAATTGTTATTAATTAATAATAATTATTTAATTACAAAATAATTGTTATTAATTATTAATAAATGTTTAATCACAAAATAATAATTATTGATTATTAATAATTATTTAATTACAAAATATTTGTTATTAACTAATAATAATTATTTAATTACAAAATAATAATTATTGATTATTAATAATTATTTAAGTACAAAATAATTTTTATTAATTATTAATAATTAAAATTCTTTAGTTACAAAATAATTATTATTAATTATTAAATGATTTAATTACAAAATAATAATTAAAATTATTGAAATACAAAACTAATAATATTAATAATTATTGTTTACAAAAATAAATTCAATTAAAATAATTTGTCTATTAATTAAATAATTAAAACGAAATTTCCTTTTTAATTTTTTATAAATTTTTTCTTTTTCTACAGAAATTGGTTGGAAAATGGAATGCCGGGAAGTAAAATTGTAATTGGTATTCCAACATTTGGACGCACTTGGAAATTAACATCGGAAAGTGAAGTTTCGGGTGTACCACCACTTCATGCCGATGGTCCAGGTGCTGAGGGTCCACATACTCACATACCAGGAATTCTTGGTTACGCTGAAATTTGTTCAAGAATATTGGAAAGTGCCGTTGATCGTTTAAGAAGAGTTGGCGATCCATCGAAAAAATATGGCAGTTATGCTTATAAAAAATATAATGATCAAACAGGAGAGGAAGGAATTTGGGTTGGTTACGAAGATGTCGATACAGCTGGAAATAAAGCACTTTACGTTAAGGCCAAAGGATTAGGTGGTGTGGCAATTTTTGAATTGTCCTTGGATGATTTCCGTGGAATTTGCAATGGTGACAAATTTCCAATTGTCAGAGCTGCTAAATTTAAATTGTAAAAAAGAAAATAAAATTTCAGATTTTTTGAAAAATTAAAAAAAAAATTAATTTTAAAATTTAATTGTAAAAAAATAATTTTAAAATTTAATTGTAAAAAAAAAATTTTTATTATATTATAATAAATGTTGATGATTTTTAAAAATTATTTTTGGTATTTTTTCGGAAATAAATAAAAACCTTTTTTTTTACGTATTTAAGGATTGAGAAAAAATTGAAATACATTTTTTTTTTAATTGTTATATATACATAATATATTTCGTGCAGTCTATGGCTTTGTTAAACACATGGGTGTTGTACCAAAGATTTTCTTTCCTCTCTTGAAAGGGACTAAAATTCGACGGCTCAGCTGGTTTTTTTTTTAAAGCTGATTGAACGTCAGACTTGTTTTTTCTTTTTTTTTTTTGCAATATGAGATCTCAATATAATATATAGGGTATCAAGTTTAGTAATGCCACATTTACTTTTTTTTTTTTTCTTAAATTATTTTACACTTATTTTTTTTTTCTTTTTTTTTTTAGTGTTATTCTAGAGTTTTATTCGCCAGAAAAGATGCAAAATTTTTTTATTTTTAACTAAAATCTCAATTTGAAATATAAAAAATTTGTTTTCAAATTTTATTTGAAATGAAATTTCTAGTTTCAATTGATATTGAATTTGAGATTATATTTAAATTTTTTGAGTTTATTAAAAAATTGATTTCTATATATACGATATTTTTATATATATATAGTCGAATTTCATCTTTTTTGGCAAATAAGTACAAATTTGAACTCCTAAATGAATATTTTTTTCGGCATATGTAAATTTTTTTTTCTCATCGATACACGAGGGGAAAAAGAACATTTTTCAAAATTATTTTAATTTGATAGTAAAAAAAAAAAATAATAATAATCTCCTCAAAATCTATATGAACGGTAAAATATTTCTACATCTAAAATTTTTACTAGGTGTGCATTTAAAATTTGTAATATATGAGAATTAAAATATCACTTTGAAGGAGGGTAGAAAATTGTGATATCTACTTTTTTGTGATTCTAATTATCTTATATGTTACAAAACTAATCTGGATTAATTTACTTAATATACATTTTTTCGATATATATATATATATATATTTTTTTTTATTGAATAGAAATAGTTCAGAAGAATTGATCAAAAATTTTTAAATATTAAATGTATCTATGTTAAATATTTTATTATATTTTTATTAGATTCTTATAGGCACGTTTTACTATTATAGAATTTTAAGGAGATTAATTAAAAATTATTAATAATAATAATATTTTTTATTATAATTTTTTATAATTATTATTTTTTTATAATTATTATAATTATTATAATATTTTTTATTATTATTTTGTTTGTAAATTAATTATTGTATAAATTAATTCTCCAATAAATTAATTAATTTTAATCAATTAATTTTAATCAATTAATTTTTTTTATAATTGTGTATAATTATATACCTAATTAGTTATTTATAAATAATTTAATTATTTGAAAAAATATCTAATTAATAACAAATTGTAAATTATTGTTTTAATATAATTTTTAATTAAATAATTTTTTACTGCTCTTTTTCTTTTGAATTCGTGTATCTTTTTCTTTTTTTTTATCCAGTTATTAATACTTATAAATACTGGGCATGGTACTTGGAATTTATGATACAATTACAATTAATAATTCAATAACACACTTCAATCAGGAAAGGGCACTCCTTACGCAGTATACATATTTGTTTATAATTTACCAAAAAAAAAAAAAAAAAAATATTTTTTTTTAGAAACTAAATAATACTATCTAAAGTGGAGCAAGTTTAAAAAAAAATTAGAAAAATAATCTAATTTTTTTTATTGAAATAGAAAAAAATGAATAAACATAAAATTTCGTTTTTTTGCTTCACTTTAGTTAGATGTTTTTTTCTTTCTATAAATTACAGATTAAGAAAGAAAAAAATGTAGATTAGGGAGGAAAAAAAGACAGTTGACAAAGTGGATAAGAAGATTATCCGTGGGGGAGGGGGAAACAATGCAATCTGGATTATTCTGATGCTTTTTGCGCCAGAGTTTTTTTTTTTTTTTGAAATCTTTTTCTCATTTATTTTTTTTTATAATGACATTTTATAATTATCTGTCATTATACTTTCGCTTAAATGTAGATTATTAAATTATTATATATATTAAATTAATGTACAATATTTTTTTTCTTGTAAGGTATTAAAATATTTTTTAAATTAATTTTTTTTTATATATAAACAAGTGTGAAGATCGTATATATTATGAAAAAATGCTCAAATAAGTTGGTTTTGTTTTTTTTGGTGCATCTCAGGTTCAATGTTTGTTCTTTTACAATGTAGAATTTTTTTTATGTTTAGAATTTTCCAAAAGCATTTTTGTTATTTTGCAAATTAATTCATTGTATAACAGAATTTGTTGATTTTTTTTTTTTTAATTGTTTTAATGTATTAATTTGCTAATATATATATTAAGTGCTGAAAATTACATTTAAATATATTATTCGTTAATTTGATAAATATATTTGAAATTATAATATATTATTGAAATTAAATATATTTTTTTATTAAAATTAAATATATTTAATTTATGTTATCAATACAGTTAAACAATTATTATTATTATTATTAACAAATTCTGTAAAGTGGCAAACATTAATTCAGATCTTTTTTCTTTTTTTTTGTTATAGAGAGAGGACGGTTCTTCTGTTTTTAATTAGGCTGTGGCACACACGAAGTACAATAATTCGGCAGGTAAGAAACTTAGAAGACTTGTTCCTTCGACCAAAAATACTAGGCCATTGTTTTATAAATAAAAAATACTCATTATATGAGATAAGTTTTTTTTTTTTTCATCGAATAATATTAATTAATTATATTTTTTTCACAAATTCAAAGCGCCCAATAATTTTGGTCAAGGTATTTGCTTTTTTTTTTACAGTATTTTTTTCCATTATACATTTTTCACCACTTTTCTATAAACAGTAGGCTAAAAATTTTATTTTTTAAAAATAATATATATAGACTAATTTTTTTTTCGGACTCCTAAAACCGTCAAGGCTCAAAGGTGATAAGCACGCTACAAAGATTATTTTTTTTTAGGGAAATCCATCAATATAGTTTTTTTTTCAAATAAAAGTGACTAAATTTTTTTTTAAATCAAAAAGTCACTATATATTTATATAATAATTGCTTAAATAATTTTTTTTTTATTTATATATAAATATTTAACTATATTGTGATTGCAAAAAGTTTTAACAAGCGATTTACTTATATAATTAACTAAATAATCACTAGGAAATAATTATCATTTTTTTATTAATAAAATAATTAGGCAAGTATTTTGTATAAATAATTGATAATTACCTAATTATTAATTAAATAATTGTTAATTATCTAATTTTATTATATAATTGCCTAACTAGTGAATATATTATTTATGGAACTATACAGAATTAAATTTTTTTTTTTTTATTAGTTGTTGGATTTTCCATTTTTAAGAGCTAATTTTCTATTTTTTAAATAATGGAAAATAATTTTTACAGTTACAATAGGTTTCTGTTTTTTTTAAGGCGTATTTAAAATAAGGAAGAAAAAAATGCATTCGAATTCTAATCGTAAGCAATCTTGGTTATTTTTTTTTTGGTTTTTTTTATCAGGTACGATATACATGGCACAACATCTATATATTTCAAATTTGCAAAAAAACTCGATTTTTAATTTATTTTCGACTTTTTACATCAATATGAAACACAAACAAATTTTTCACAACGCTTTTTGATAATTTTGATTGTAAATGCTTACTGATTTTTTTAAAATTTATTGTTATATTTTCAAATTAAACAATATAAAAATAATGCGATTTATAAATTTAATTTATATTCTAAGATTTCTCGAAACTATGATAATTAATTTTTTTATATATATTTTATAATAACTATATATATTTATTTGATTGCAATCTATAACAATTTTTTTTTTTTATTAATATAGTGATTAAAATTGTTTATTAATTCACAAAATACGCATTATTTTGAATTGTTTAATTGAAAATTTTTTTTAACAATGAGAGTTGTCAATTTTTTGAAAAAAAAAAATATTAAATTTGAATTTTTTTGAATTATTTATTATTTCTAAGTTCTAACAAAGAAAGAATTCCGTGTCTGTTGGAAATTTTCGCGAATTAAGTACAAAATTTGAATTTGAATTATTAATTTTTTTTTAATTTTGTTTGTGTTATTATTTTCTTTTTCTTTTTTTTTTTTTTTTAATATTATGGTAGTAAATAGTCTTCTTTTTATTTGGAAAAAAGAACGTGACTGGTCAGTACTTAAAAAAATTCTTACAATATCATGATTAGAATTTTAAATTATAACATTCATTGAGAAAAATTTAGTCTTGACGTTATATCAATAGAAGTTATAAAATAACTTCGTGAGCCTTTATAAAAAATCGATATCACATATATATTTACATATTTTTTTTAAACTTAAAGAATGTTTCGTGTATTTCATTCAACAGTTTTTTTTTTAAATAAACAATTCTTATATAACAATTCCAATATAAACAGATTTAAAGCAAAGATTCATTTCTTTTCTTTTTTTTTTATTTTTATTAAAGTTCTGATTTTACTACACTGAAAAAAATTTATTTGATTTAAATATTTGATTACTTGACTATATTGTCAAATAAATATTTATTTGAATCAAATAATTTTTATTTGAATAAAATAAATTGTATTTGAACCAAATAAATTGTATTTGTGCCAAATAATTTTTATTTGAATTAAATAAATTGTACTGGAACCAAATAAATTGTATTTGAACCAAATATATTGTATTTAAACGAAATAATTTTTATTTGAATTAAATAAATTGTATTTGTGCCAAATAATTTTTATTTGAATTAAATAAATTATACTGGAACCAAATAAATTGTATTTGAACCAAATATATTGTATTTAAACCAAATAATTTTTATTTGAATTAAATAAATTGTATTTGAACCAAAAATTGTATTTGTGCCAAATATAAATTGTATTTAAATCAAATAATTTTTATTTGAATTAAATAAATTGTATTGGAATAAAATAAATTGTTTTGGAACCATATAAATTGTATTTGAACCAAATAAATTGTCTTTGAACGAAATAATTTTTATTTGAATTAAATAAATTATATTTGAACCAAATATATCATTTAATTGACTCAAATAATAATTATTTGACACAAATAATTGTTTGGTAAAAATCAAGTAACCGATTATTTGAATCAAATAAATTTTTTTTCAGTCTAGTTTTTAACAATTATGAAATTACTTTTCTAACAAATTTTGCATTTGAGATTTTTACTGAAGTTTCCATCCTAAAATTTTTTTGATTATTTAATAATTTGACATTATTAGATGTTAGTTTATTATATTACTATAATAAATAATAATTTTCATTTTACAATGATTTTCCTTTATTTTTGAAGAATTTTAGGATGAAAAATTCAGTAATGTAACAATTATTAGTGAATCTAATAACAAAAAATAATCTAAAATTTATACATTGAGAAATTTTTGAAATTGTTTTTTTTTTTTCATTCATCAATTAATTTCCAACTCACACAGAACTTGATCAGTCCTTGCTTTTTTTTTCTCTAGAAATGTTGCCAAAGGAAACTGATCGCAATTTTAATATAAATATATATATTAAATAACATGATTAAATATTTAACGAATTGGTAAAAAGATCGATTAATTAATAATTTGATGGAAATGAGAAACAAAAAATAAATAAAAATTTGATATGATGGGGGGCCATTTTACCTTGACAAGTTGCCAAAATTTTTGGGCAGAAATCAGAACTGCGTCAATTTTTGTTTTTTTTCGAGGGAACTCACTTGTGCAACATCCTACATGACGCAGCATCTTTTGATATTGTACCTACTATCTTGGTCCACATGATTGCTAAGTACCTTGAGCAGCCTCTCAGTATCTTTGAAACTATTTTTACCTTGTTCTGACTTTATTATTTTACTCTTTCGTATTGTAACAATTCCCTTACGTTTTTTCTTTTTACTTTGCTCAAGCAATTCCTCGAGTCTCAATCTGATAGGCCAATTAGCATCTTCATCTTGAGCATCGATGAAGGCACAATTTGAATTAGGCTCCAGATCTTCGAAATCATGCTCAATATTATTTTCCAAATGTTGATGAAATGTTGCTGTTGTTTCTTTAAATCCCTCCTTTTTTTCCTCAATTTGTGAATCATTGCTCATCATCATCCATTTTGGTGGCGTAAAAGAATCATAAACTCTCATTGGCCTTGCTAATGATGATGATCTTTTTTTAATTGTTTGATAATTTGAAAAATGATTATTTAACATTGACGATGATCGATAGTCGGATGATGAATTTTTATTATTTGTAATTTCAGTTTTTGTAAATTGTTTCGAATTCAATATCTGTTGATTAGTTATTGTTTTAAGGACTTTTTGTTTAAGACATATTTTTTCATTCTTCTTTTCATTTTTTGTGAAATAACATTTGTCATTTATTATCTTTTTTGTGTCCGTTATATTGATTTTTGAATTTTTATTCTTATAGGATTTATTTGAATTGTAGTTTTTGGTATTAGTATTATTATTATTATTGGTATTGTTATAATTTTTATAATTCTTTGAATTAAAAGAGGAATTGTAATTTTTATTTGTATTCTTGGAATTTTTATTGTTTTTCGTATAGGTATTTTTAATTGTGTTTTTATTTGTATTATTTGTATTATTAGAATTATTATTATAGGAATTTTTATTATTGGTGTAATTATAATTGTTTTTAAGTGAGAGATGTCGACACTGCTCGGCACATTGGAAACAATCGTAATATTTTTCGGAAGTTATACGACGATTGGAAGATGATGTTGTTGTTTGTTTAATCATTGGATAAATATCAATTTCGGGTAATTTTCGGAAGATTATTGCACGTGATATTCTCACTGATGACCAATTGCCACGTTTTGAAAAATCGCAGACAATTATTTCGCCATGCTGATTTTTGGAAGATGTGGATGACGCTGATGATGATGATGAGGATGATGATGATGTTGTTGATGATGATGATGATAAATTTTCACATGATTCGGGAATACGAATCCAACCTCTTTGTAGTGGACTTTGATAGCGACGTTTATGTTCATTTTCAAAAGGCTTCTGTCACACTTCCTGAAGATATTTTAATGGGCAGAGCGTATCCTTAAAACGTACTTCACCTTCATTTGAACCTTGTTCCGATGATCGAACATCAGCTGCACATCTTACCATTGCAACACCGTCTAATTCTTCTCCAACTTGCAGTACAATCTGTATTTATAATTTTCGTTTTTATTTAAGTTTTGAGTATTTGTTTTTATTTGTGATTTTTAAGTTTTTGGATCTAATTATAAAAATTACCTGATCTCTTAGAAGTGTTGTTTGATCAGCAAGTTGCAAGTTTCGGGTAACTTGTAATGATTTTTGACCGGGATCGACTCTCATGACATAAGCACTTGGAAAATAACCAGCACGACCACCTAAACATTTGCCCTTCCACCAGTCCTTTTCTGATTTATCGATTACCGAAACTTTATAACCGGCTCTGAAAATCATAAATTTCAATTTAAAGTTAAAGCAATCTAAGCTTGATATTAGAGCGAGAGGGAATTTTTATAACCTCTTCAAAATTAGGCTACTAATCCTAATGTTAAATTCATGCCTTATATGTTCAAAAACATAATCATTTGCCTCAAATTTCCATATTGTAATTATGTGTATTGTGATTTATATTGCAGTAAAAGTTTGAAATCCCTAAAAAAAAAAAATTCCCGGATATTTTTTGTTTTCAAATGATTTTGCCTATGGGAAATAGTTCCCGGGAAATCCACTGGAAATTATTGCGAAAATTATTACGGGAATTCCTGTTAGAAATTTCGATTAAATTTTTTATCATATGACTTGGGATAAAAACTCAGTTTTTCGAACACGGTTTTACTACTTTAAAAGTATAACTGAAACTGTACGCGGTTTCTGCGCATTTCTGGTTTTACTACTTTAAAAGTAAAACCGAAACTGCCCGCAGTTTCTGAGAATTTCAGGTTTTACTACTTCAAAACAAAAAACCATAATTGTTCGCAGATTTTGGTTTTACTGCTTTAAAACTAAAACCGGAATTGTCCGCAGTCTCTGAGCATTTCTGGTTTTACTACTTTAAAAGTAAAACCGGAACTGTGAGCAGTTTCTGCGCATTTCTGGTTTTACTACTTTAAAACTAAAACCGGAACAACCGGAACTGCTCGCAGTTTTTGTCTGCGCATTTCTGGTTTTACTGCTTTAAAACTTAAACCGGAACTGTCCACAGTTACTGAGCATTTCTGGTTTTACTACTTTAAAACTGTCTGCGGTTTCTGGTTTTACTACTTTAAAAGTAAAACCGGAACTGTAAGCAGTTTCTGTCTGCGCATTTCTGGTTTTATTGCTTTAAAACTAAAGTAGGAACTGTTTGCAGTTTCTGCGAATTTCTGGGTTTACTATTTTAAAACAAAAAACCGGAATTGTTCGCAAATTCTGGTTTTACTGCTTTAAAATTGGAACTGTCCGCAGTTTCTGAGTATTTCTGGTTTTACTACTTCAAAACCAAAGCCGGAACTGTCCGAAGTTTTTTTTTCTACTTTAAATCTAACATCAAAACTGTCCGCGGTTTCTGGTTTTACTACTTTAAAAGTAAAACCAAAACTGTAAGCAGTTTCTGAGAATTTGTGGTTTTGCTACTTTAAAACTAAAACCGCAACTGTCCGCATTTCTGGTTAAACTACTTTAAAACTAAAACCGAAACTATCCGCAGTTTTTAGTTTTACTACTTTAAAACTAAAACCGCAATTGTCCGTAGCTTCTGCACATTTCTGGCCATTATTTTACTCCAGAAATAGTCAAATTTACTTCTGAAATTGTAAAAATTATTCCGGAAATAGTAAGTTTTACTATTTTTGGAGTAAAAATTGCCAGAAATTGCGGAAAGTTCCGGTTTTACTTTTAAAGTAGTAAAAGTTACTTTATTCGTTTTTCCATTTTTCTTCGTTAGCTAAGATTATTGTTTGTAGTGATCAAACAGATTTCACGTAAGAAAACTAATTAAAATCGATTTATTTTGTACTATTTATAAACAAAACTTTTAGGTTATGAATGGTTAGGTTAGGTTAGGTTAGGTTAGCCATGATCATGCCTATGTCAATAAAACAAATTCCTAACCTAAAAAATTTTCTTTTCTTTCCACAAATAGTAGAAAATAAAATGATTTTAAGTATAATAGTGATCAACAAACAATAATTTTAATTGTTATATTTAAAAATCAGAGTTTTTATATACTGTGAAAATTTTTTTTTTTCGAAATTTCCATAAGAATACAATAATTTCCGCAATATTTTTTCCAGTTTACAACTTTTTTTACGTTGATGATTTAATTTATTTTGAAGAATAATTTTTATATAATTTGAAAAAAAAAATCGTGCAAAATGAAAATGAATGAAATTTAAAAATTCTACTAGGATATGAGTTTTGCAAGCATTTTTTTCTTTTTTGGTTCACATCTATGAAAGCAAATCTCACTTTAAATCTAACTCGTCCCGATGTCTAGCTTCAAAGTTGTACAACACTACGTAGAGATTGTTTGGTGGTAAAACACGTTTTCCAAGTGGATTCAGGTGATTTTGATTGTTGGTGTGAGGCGAGGGACAGGGTGAGGTGCTTGCTGAGGAATAGGATTTTTCATTTTCATCTGGTAGTTCCACACTAGACATTCTTATTGTTCCCCTCAAGTGTTTGTGAACCCCATGCCCTTGACCTGGACTGCAGGGCGCTGAAATTAGAAAAGAAACGTATACAAATTTTTTTTTTTTTGTATATTTTACTTTTTTTCCATTTTTTTTTTTGAAACGATAAAAAATTAATATACACACATACATACACATACACGTAAAGAACGTGATCTGTAAATAAATACGAAAACTAATTTTCCTTATATCCCATATTTGATTCTAATCTATTTCTACTCATTCATTATTTCGGTTTCTCATCATCCCCCTTTGGAAAAACGTTTTATAGTGAATTTTTTATTGAATCATTTAAGGAAAATTTATCTATTCGATTTATTTAATTGAAAAACATCGATTTTTTTTTAAGGGGAAGAAAATTTTATTTTTGAAAAGATAATTTTTAAGATTAGAATTTTTGATTCCAAAAGAATTACTATTTAAAGATAAAAAAGTTTTTTCGTTAAAAATTTTAAATTATATCGGAAAAAAAATTTCTATTTTATAAATAATACATGCAAAAAAAATGGCTATATTTATACTATAAAAATAAATCGTGAGATTTTTATAAATATAGCAGAGTTTTTGAAATTTTCACGTATTTTGATAAATTTTTTTGATTTACAAAAAGAATAGCAAATAATTTTTGGAAATTTAAAAATGAAAATGTTTTTTTGTTAGAAATAAAAATTCAAAATTTTCATTTTTCTAAAATGAAACTGTTTTTTTAAAAAAAAGGTGAATTAATTTGAAAATCAAAACACTGTAGATTAATATATTAAAACATGCAAGAATATATTCATGCAAGATTAAATAAAAAAAAAAATTTTTTACGATACATTCTACAAATCTTACCTGATATAAAGCGCACACAGAATATATATACAATAATTCAAAAGTAGTTTCTTGGTTTACATTGTTCTTTTTTTTATTTTCATTTTTATTTTAATTTTAATTAAAAAAAAATTTTTTTTGACATTACAAAATAGTGACGAAAAAGCAAAATTTTTTTTTCGCTTATAATTCAATTTTTAACGCTAAACTTACATAATCTGTTGATACTTCCGCTATCAGAACGTCGTGGGGGTGTGTATGAATCCCTATGACCGGAAGTATGATAATCTCGTGGTCGATGACGAACATGAGCTGATCCTTCTGGTGAGTCCAAACTCAAACTCTTCATCCTCAAATTCAGTCTCTCTCTTCTACGTTGTGGACTATGCGGCGCTTTGAGTTTGATTTGCATTTCATAATTACCGTGTCACATTACTCTAATTACTAACATGCATTGCCTAGCAAGTTCCAATTTTTTTTTTTTTTTAATTTATTATTATAAAATTATAATAATGTATATACGATTCATATTTATTGCCCGTTTTTTTTCAATTTAGCAAATTTTCAGAAATTATATTTCGAAAAATTCAAAAATTATAATATTTTGAAAATTTTCAAGAAATTAAATTAATTAAAATTGGCCTTTTTTCATTCAAGGAGTTTATTTATTTTAATTTATTTTTTATTTTATTTTGCTTCCTCGTGAAGAAAGTTTTTTTCTTTTATTTTTAATTGAAATTGAATGTTAAAAAAGAATATTAATATAAATTTAAATACAATTTTAGTTAAATTAATTATAATTCAAATTATTATTTTAATTTTTTTACGGTTTGGAAGTTAATTTTTTTTTTTTTTATATAAGTTCTGAAATTTTGCAAAAAATTGGTTTATACCGAGTACAACATGATAAAAGTTTTTGGCGTAGGATATACAAACCGTATCGGAATTTGATAGACGAAGCAAAAAACTAAATAGCGAAGATTTCTCCAGGGACATGACTCACAAAAACGAAAAATGTGCAACATAAACATGTAATATAAACATGTAAATAAATATAGATATATATTTTTTTTAAGGGGAAAAAATTTATTTACAAGTATTTACATAATCGTGAATTGTCAATAAGAATTTTCGTCTCAAAAATTGACCTATATTTCCAAATGTAACATTATATAACCTATTTCAATAAAATAACATTTATGGATTATAATAATAATTATAATAATAATAATAATAATAATAATAATAATAATAAAAATAGGTATATAATACAAAAAGATGAAAATTTTCGAAAAGGGTTTAATATTAACCTACAGGGTCATATATTCTCTTAACAAAAACACAAACATCAATAATTAATTTATACATTAAAAATACACTTAATTATGTAAAATATAATGTATAATTATATACACCAAATATTAATTTTTTCAAAATAGGGATAAAAGATATAAATTCAGAATTAATTTTTTAATATTAAACGATAAATTAATTAATAATAATTTGGAAATTATTTAATATTTATCATTAGACAATTAATATTAATTATTAATTATTAATTATTAATTATTAATTATTAATTATTAATTATTAATTATTAATTATTAATTATTAATTAAGAATAATTAAATTAAGAAATTTAATAATTTTAATTAAATATTATTTTAATTAATTTAATTTATTAAATTTAATAATAATAATTAATCAATATTTACAGGAAAAACAAATATATACTTGAAATAGCGAAAGGTTTTACTAGAATAGCGAAAGATTTAACTGAAATAAGTAAAACTTTTGCTACAATAGTGAAACATTTCGCTGTTCCAGAGAAATTTTTTTTCCGTGTAATATTGATAATAATTGATAATAAAAGTATTAATTGATAATATAATTGATAATAATTGATAATAATTATTAATAATTATTACACCCAGAGAAATGATTTATTTGAACCAAATAAAATATATTTGAGTTAAATAAACGTATATTTGTCTCAGAGCTTATTAACTTATTTATTTGGCGTAAATAAAAATTTTATTTGTCAGAAATAAATTTTTCTTTGGCTCAAATAAATTTTTTATTTCAATGAAATGAAATATATTTACAACAAATAAATGAGTTAGTAGGCTCGGAGACAAATATACCATTTCTCTGAGTGTAATAATTGATAATAATTATTAATAATTGATAAAAATTATTAATAATTGATAATAATTAATAACAATTGATAGTAATTAATAATAATTAATTAATAGTTGAATTTAGTTAAGAGAAAATTTTTTAATTAAAAAAATATATTCCTCAAATATTGTTATTGCTATTTTTATTATTTTTACATAAACAAAATGTCCTTCTTTTTATAATATAGCTAAATAATACACTTAAATTGAATATATATATAGAATCTATATATAAATTTTTAAAGAAAATTCCGATTAAAAAGAAAAGGATTTTATATACTTTGATATTGTATAGACATAGAGAATAATATAGAATTTGAGAAGCCATTTAGTTGAATTGATAGTCGATCCAATTGCATGTTACGGTAAATTATATGTCAAGTTTGCAATAAAGGATTACACGCGATTTTCATCGATCGCATCAATTAACTAATTAGGTTGATAATAGGCAGTGTTAAATATCATGTTGTATACTGCAAAACTTCCGGATTTGATCATCATTTATTAAAAAAACAACAATGTCCTTATTTCTTTTTTTAAATCGAAAAAAAAATCCACCAAAAAATAATTCTTCGGATAATAATCCTATAAAAATGATGTAATTTTCTTTTCAAAGAGGTTTTTCATAAAATATACTGAAAAAAAATTTATTTGATTCAAATATTTAATTATCAAATAAATATTTTCTTAAATCAAATAATTATTGAGTCATTTAATTTAAATTTCTAATAGAGAAATTGTTTCAAATTAAAAAAAATTATTAATTAATTGAATTATTTAATTGAATTAATTAATTAAATTATTAATTAATTGAATTAATTAATTGGATTATTTAATTGAATTAATTAATTGGATTATTTAATTTAATTATTCGGTTACAAAAATTATTTGGTAAATATTTATTTTAAAGTAAGGATTATTTGAATTAAATACATTTTTTTTTATTTCTTTTAATTAAATAATTCGAAGGTTGAGGTCGTTAATTATTTTCTAGAAGAAGAATAAGTTCCATTTCTGTACTGATAATCGATCCTTGGGAAAATGTCTAACAGCAGGTCGCGAAACTCTTTCTTTTAATATCAACGGAAATGTCTTCTAGGAGCATTTTCCTCTCGCTTCAATCCTATTAACTTATATCAAAGTTCGGGATTCTATTTCATTTCTAAATAGCGCTTTAATAATCACTAGACTATAAATAGAATTCATTTTCATGTGTTTTGTTCCTTTATTTATAATTCAAAAGCTCGCAGAATAATAATTTTGATAGGGTATTTTTTTTTTAAATTCAAATTCAAATCTAACTAAAAACTATTTTCCGAAATATTTACACATTAAAGAGTAATTTTTTTTAGATTTAAAAAACTTTTCGAGAAAAAGTATTTTTATAATATTTGAAATTTTTAAGAGAAAAAGTACAATTTTCCATTACAGAAAAATAAATTATCTAAAGGAGAAAAAAAGTATTTTCTTTTTATTATAATATTTGCAGAAAAACGATTTTCTGTCAGTTAATAATTAATTTTTATACTTTTAAAAGGTAATTTCATTTAATTCAAGTATTATATTTATATTTATGGTCTGATTTATCACGTGACCATTTAATAAAATTTGAGAACTTCAAAAATTACATTTCTATTTCACTTAGTATTTTTTCGTTTGAGATTTATTTATTTTTAAGAAAGATAAATATATTTAATAAAAATGATAAAACGACTGAAGTACATGTTGAGCATTTTTTTTTTTTATCATATAAGGAAAATAGAATTTTCTTATCGCTTTTGATGCGTGGGATGTATTCGAGAGATATTTGGAATTTCACTCCCTAAACTTTCTTATATATTCAAATATTGAATTTTTGATAAGACACGTCGTTTGCATCGATTTTTACATAACTTTTCCCCGCATAATATAAATAAACAATTTTTATTGATACAATAAATTTTTAAACTATTTAATAATAATAACAACAATTTTTTATAATTGAAATAAAATAACAGAAATTTTAAAAGGAACAAAATTATTTGATAATTTATTAGATAAAAAATTGAATAAAATATATTTTAATTTTGTGTAATAATTATTTGATTTTTAATTAATTTTGATATTAATATTACTATTGAGTTTATTTTATTTTAATTATAATTCGATATTAATATATTATATTCTCTATCATAATATAATTGTCATTTGGATTTAATTATGATAAATGTAAATTAAAAATAATATATTAATTTGCAAATATAATTATAAAAATTATTTTTAATATCGAGACGGATAAAAAATCATTAAATTTTAGTTATCCGCCAATTGACGCAATTTTTTTCATTTACAAACAACTAAAAATATATATTTATTTCAATTTTCGTTATATTTTTAGAAAATATGAAATAAATAATTTTTCATTTTTCATGCTTCAGTCGTTTATCATAATAAAGTGAGCTTTTTTCAACTCTCGAAATCGGAATTAAATAAATATTTTAATTTAAATTAGTGTCTTGGACTTTTTTCTATATTAATTAAAATTTACTAATTAATTAATTAAAATTTGATTTCAAAAAATGTTATTTACTGCGTCTATATTTTGTTTAATTATTTTAATTAATCAAATTGTTAATAATTTAATTAATTCATGGAAAATAATCACTAATTTAAATAAAAAAAAAATTTTCTAATTCAGATTTAGAGAGAATTTAGTTTTTTTTGCTTTATGGCAGTCATCTCCGCTTATTAGCACTGCGCTTTCGACGTAGTGATGATTCGGAGGATGAAGTCAAAGGTGGCGTTGGCTCCTGAGCCAGAAGTACCAAAGGTTGTCCAAAAGGTCTCGTACCGGAAGTAGATCCTCCGCTACCACGTCCTAACCAATTAAATCGCACAATTTTGTTGATAATTTACCCCAAAAAAAAAAACTTCAATTTTTTCCTTAATTTTTTTTTTCAATTTACTGCTTCAAGCAATTGTTATGCTGTTTAAAAATCCAATATTAGTTAAGAAAGCTAATTTTTTAATTTAGTTATAAAAAAAATCATTTTAGCATTCAGGAATATTTTTTGCAATAATGGAATCGAATAATGAAGTTAATATTATGAGGGAAATGTAATGGATTATTATTTTTCATTTTTTATATTAATTTTTTGTTTTAAATATTATTACATTGAAAACCAAATTTATTTAATTCAAATAATCGATTACTTGATTATTAAAGAAATATTTACTTGTATCAAAGAAATATTTACTTGTATCAAAGAAATATTTACTTGTAGCAAAGAAATATTTACTTGTATCAAAAAAATATTTACTTGCAAATAAAAATACTTATATCAAATAATTATTATTTGGTATTTAGATGGTATTTTGTTTCAAATAAAGAAATTATTGGCAATTTAATTGAAATAAAAATTATTTGGTTCAACTAAATATTTATTTGATAGTCAAGTAACCGATTATTTGAATCAAATAAATTTTTTTCAATGTATATATTGTTTTCGAGTGTTTATAGAATATAATAAAAATGATTTTTTGTATTTTTGTTTATGAATTTAATTTAACGGTTTTACTTAATTTCGTTTTTTTATTTTTATTTTTACTTTATTTTTTTTTTTATTTAATAATTTGAGGGGAATTTCGTATTCTTAATTCTTCAATTTAATGAGGAAACGCAAATAGAAAATTTATATAACTCACTTGGAAGTTTTGATTTTGCAGCAAGTGAACACAAATAATGAGAATCGTGACCTTGATTTTAAGAGAATATTTATATATAAATTGAACTAATTACGCGCGACACTCTGAGACAATTCATTAAGAATTAAATGACAGTGATTGTGTGACTAAATATATAATATATATATATAGGGCATCTCATTATTTAGTTTGAGAGAAAGAGAGAGAGAAAATGTTTCCTGAATTCTTCTCAAGGAAAAATACGAATTTAAATCTTCATCTAATACAACCCACTTGATGATTTTCTCAATTGTTTCAGCATAAGTGAGATTTAAGACTTTCATTATTTTGAAAATGGATTTATTTTATTTCTTTCGTTCGTAATTTTATAAATTTTCGTTCGTAAAAAAATACTTTAAAAAAAAATTTAATTTTCTTTTTTAAATAATTTCTTTTTTTTTTTTAGTAAATATTAATCTAAAATTGTTTTGTTAAAATTTCGAATTTGATTTTCCAAAAATAGTTTTTACTGTAATAAAAAAAAAAATTACATTTTGTTTGGTAATCGATGCATCTAAATCGAATATTATATTATCGGAATGGTTAATTTTAAATGTTTCCTTGTACCCCCTCAAGGTTTTATTGTAATCAATAATTTGGATTTCAATTTCTTGGCCTCGAATTGGCTTTTTTGGGAGGGAAATTATTTATCTTTCCTTAACTTAATATTTATTGGTAGTTAACATTTAAAAAAAAAAAGTAAATTATAACCGATTGAAAAAAAATCTCTGGCGAACCTTTAAAATTAATAATAATAATAATAATAATAATAATACTAATAATTATATAATTACTATTATTATATAAATAATTATTATATAATTATTATTATTATTATTATTATTATGTAAATTATAATAATTATTATTATTATATAAATAATAAGCAAAAAAATGTTCGCCTGGAACAGCGATAAGTTTCTTTGGAATAGCAATATATTTCTCTAGAGAAGCAAAAACTATCGCTGTTTTAGTGAAAGATATCGTTGTTCAAGATAAAGATTTTTTTGCCCGAATAATAATAATTATTATTATTGTGGTAGTTGATTGTAATGGAATATTTTTTTTCGAATAGAAAAATTTGTAATTTTTTTTTTTTAAATTCCCTAACGAACTAAAATAAAAAAAAAAATGGAAAATTTGTTCTGAATTTTGTCGAGTATATAAAATTAAATATATGAGAGCACACAAACGAATGATTGGAGTCATGTCCCAGAAGATCTCTTAAAGGTATATATAATATTGAAGGTCGCTTCTCATTTACGCCACACACACCATACATTTATACGCAATTGACCCGATAGAAAAATTATGGTTCATTTATTTCCACCTTTTATTTATTTATTTATTTTTTTTTTTCTCTGTATTAAAATATTCGCTGGTACAATCTATATATTTAGAAACAACAGGATATTACTTTGCCCCAGGGAGTCGTTTGCCCCAGAATTTGTGACGTGGAAATAATTTGTTTTTGAAAAAACAAATAAATGATTTTCTATTTTTTTAAAATGCGCGAAAAAATTGAATACGCGAGGGATTTTTGAAAATTTTTTTTTGGGGCGTAAAATGAAAATGCAACCTTTTTTTTTTTGATTAAGAGGATGAGCGTATAGGTAGTCTTACCAGAGGTGGACGAGGAAGAGGGTTGGGAAGAGGTCCTCGCTGATAAAGGTGCTGCGCCGGAAGGAGGATGATCTGCTGTGGGAGGCGTAGGTGGTGAATTTGTCGAATTTCCACGAATCTCGCCAGCCTGCTTCAGCACCTGGTATATGGCGTCCACGTCTATCGATGATGTAGCGCACGAAATGAAAAAGCACACAAGCAACGTGGTACAAATGTTACAATAATGAGGTTCCATCATAGCGAGAAAGCTGATTGCTCTCAATCTCAATTTTAAAAAAAATCTCAATTTTTACGTTAATAGGATAATTTTTTTTTTAATTTCTAAAAATTTTATGGTCGTCTTTAGTTGAGGACGCCATCACTAGGGGGGAGTATTTTAGTTGAGGACGCCATCACTAGGGGGAGTGTTTTTAGTTGAGGACGCCATCACTAGGGGGAGTGCTTTAGTTGAAGACGCCACCGCTAGGGGAATTAATTTTTCGTTTAATTATTTTACGAAAAAAAATTGGTAAAAAATTTTTTGTAAATTTTTTTTTAAATCGATGAAAATACCTTTCGATTAGAAACAGAAAGAGGATAAATTGATCAAACAACTTTCTCGGCGCACCTCAGGATAATTAAGCCGATGAGGGTCATTGTGAATTTTTGAATATGGAGATGAGTGATAGAATGACAATATATGAGCAAAAAAAAAAAAAAAAAAGTTAACAGTGGAATCGATTGAAAAAAGGCGACAGGAGCAATCGATTAGTGATTAATTGTCACGCTTTTAGAGATAAAAAAAAAAAAAAATTGAAGAAGGTTCGTAGACCGGTGATAAATTTTGTACATTGTTATCAGTTTTCAAAGAAACAGAAGAGTCTATTCAAGAGCTAAAATTCTTGATTGATCGAGGTCCTCGGTGGTTTTAGAGGAGAGCTTCTTTCTTTTCCATCTCATCTTAAATGATTGAATACTCTCTTTCTATCTCCTTTCAAGCGCGAAAACGATTTGGGTAAACTTTTTTTTTTTTTAAAGACGAGATGGAAATTTTTATTTTCAGTCAAGAGAATTTTAAATAAATTACTTTATATTTTTAATGGGATAATAATAATAATAATAATGTCAAGGGAGAAAAGTTGTTTTACTTCCTCATTCTAAGATGAAAATGAAATTTATCTCTATTTTTTATTTTCTGTTAAATCATTTTTCTTCGCTTATCAAAATTTTATGAATTTTTTTTTTTATATTTTATTAATGAGAAGCTTCCAGTTGAAAAATTATTTATACTTACGTGTTTGATTTTTTTTTAATGTAAAAAATAAATTAACAAATAAATAAATAAACAAAATAATTAAATAAGTACACAAATAATTAAATAATTAAATAAATAAACAAATAAATAACTAAAAAAATGAATAATTAAATAAACAATTGTATTTTTGTTCCAATAATATTTTTTGTATTTAATTAATAAGAAAAATTATTTTTATAATTTACTAAATAAAAATATTTTCATATTAGTAAAAATATTTTCATTTTTAAGTTTTATCTTTTATTTTTATTAAATAAACTTAATTGAATAAATGGAAAATAAAAGTAAAATTATTGAAGGCAAAAAGATTATAAATTAAGTGACTAAAAATCTTTGTATAATAGAAAAACGATTTTACATTTTAATTAACAGAATTATATAGTGAAAGAAATGATAAAATAAATTAAAGAGGAAATTTAACTGGCAATGAACAGTAGTTTTAATTCCCTTCAAGTATAGATAAGGTCATTCTTAATCAACTGTCTGCTTTTGTTTGACGGTATCTTTTCTTTATCTATACTATATATATATATATACGAATTTCTAAAAATATTCTTATTATATAAATTGTAGCAAAGAAAAGACAAAAGCATTAAGAAAATAACTTTTAATTAAGAAATTAATAAAATTAAATAACCTCTAGTATTTAATTAATTCCTTTTAAATGAAATCCTCTTAAATATTATCTTTTATTAAATTAAAATTTCTAAGAAATAAATGCATAATAATTTATACAATAAATAAATAAGTAAATAATTATAAATATAAATTATTATTATTATTATAATTTAGAAGAAAAAAAATTTTTTTGGGCGTCTTTCGTTGAGGACGCCATCACTAGGGGGAGTGTTTTAGTTGAGGACGCCGTCACTAGGGGGAGTATTTTAGTATAAATAAGAAATTTCTTTTAAATACAAAAATTATAAAAGAATTTCATATTACAAAAAAAAAGCTTCTCATTGTATAAATATATAATAATCACCGAAAACCTCGATCAATTTTTTTTAAATTTTTTTTTTACTATTATTACGTGAGATAAAAAAATTTTTTTTTAAATTTTTATAATGCAGAAAAAAATGTTAGAGTAAAATTATTATTTTTTTATTATTTATTACTCACTGTGTTCGGAGGATGGTGTCTCATCGGTTGGTGGTGCCGTTTGTTTTTGTCTTCGAAGAAGTGGAATTCCACCGCCACGTTTTGATGATAAACTTGGACAATTTGTTGGTTGTACAGAACTAATGCAATCGGCGTGTGCATTTGCCTTACAGCCACGACAACGAAAACCCTGTCGACTATGTCCACGTAATACTTGACCACATGCATCGCACGGTGTTATTTTTCTATATGTATATTCACGCCACACGTGTCCACCTTCTGATTCCAAGTTTTTTCTGAAATTTCAGTTTTTTTGGTATATAGCAATTTTTTTTTATTTTTCTATTTTTTTCATCTAAATATTTTAAATTTTTATTAATTTTGTAATTTATTAATTTTTATTATGTAAATTAGTTTAATATTTAATAATTTATTTATTTACATATATACGAGCAGTACTTTTTTTATGTTTTTGTTTTTTTTTTTTACTTTTTTTATTCCTTATTTTTTAATTTTTAATTTTATTCAAAATATATACTAAAAAAGAATTTTTGCAAAAAATATATTTACAAAAAAAATATAAATTTTCTTCAATACAAAGAAATTTGTTTTACTTTATTTAAATAAATATTTACCTGGACATAGCAACGACAGAGGAAACTGCATGGTACATCGTCTGCTTTCCTCTTTTTTTTTTGTTAGTAGCAATCATATTGTTAATTATTTAGTAAATTATTTTTGAATATTAAAATTTTTTTTTTATTTTTTCTCCCTTTTTCTCTATACTAACGTTGTATAAAAATTTATTTTAGCAAAAAAATTAAAAAAAAAAATTTACTGCTAGAAAAAAATGGCTAATTTAATTTAATTTTGTTTTCGAAAAAATAGTACTTTAGGAAGTATTTTGTTTTTTTGGAAAAATTTTCCAAAAAATTAAATTATACATTTTTTTCCATTGGGACAGTATAGTATAGAGAGAAAAAAAGGGAGGAGGGAGGGGGGATGAAATAAAAATTGGCAAAAAAAGGCACTCACTTTTCTGTAGGCGGTGGCGTTGTGGGTGAGCTGGTCTTCAAACTTTTGAACGCTTTCAGCCATTTGTGCTTAGTACTTCCTGTCGAGCCATTAGACATTTTCCGGCTGCTCACCCCATCAGGCTGCACAGCTTCTCCACCTCCAAAAAGCTCTTTCTGCAAAATATATTATACACTCTTATTGTATGAATTATAAATTTTTCATCGATCCACGAAAATTTATTCCTCCGAACACATTGCGCATATTAACATTAAAACCAACTGTTTATAAATAATTTTTATAATAATAATAATAATAATAATAATAATAATAAAATGAAAATTTTTCTAAATATCTATTATTTTGATTAAAATATTTATTTTTTATTATTTATTTATTTGTATTATTATTTTTTTTATTATTATTTTTATTTTTATTATTTTATTTTTTTATTTTATTATTTTATTATTATTATTATTATTATTATTATTTTTTATTATTTATTTATTTGTATTATTATTTTTTTAATATTATTTTTATTATTTTATTTTATTATTATTATTATTATTATTTATTTTTTTTTTGTTTAAATAAGTTGATAGGATTATTTATTTAGTTATTTTTTAATTCGCATAATTATTATTTTTTAATTTTCCTATTACAATTATTGTTATTTATTTTTATCCCATTTTTTTTCTTATTTTTAAAAATCAATTTTCGATGAGAAAAAATAAAACTTTTGTTCTCTCTTCTTTTTTTTTTTTTTTTTGACGTCAGAAAGTTTTATAAATTTACGAATTCCTATTTTTATAGCGAATATTAGGAAAAGATGAAGTTAGCGAGATAAAAATAAAAAAAAATAAAATCATTCGGAATAAAAAATTCAGGAATTCTAAATCCACTTGAGGGGGAAAAAAAATCAAAAAAACTTTTACAATATAATGTCAACCCACATTTCTTGTCAAAGAACGCGAGTGTTTACTCCTTTTCTTAGCTTTTCTCTCATCACTTTCAAGGGATCGGCTTTTTCGGACTCCCCGAACAATCATATTGTGAATTTAACAAAAGATCAAGAGAATTTTTTTTAGATATTTGCAGAAAAAAAAGAAAATATATGTCTCATTTTTTTCTACTTTTTAACTTTTTTTTTTTTATAGTTTTGAAAAACAATTTTTTTTTCAGATATTTTTTCCTTTTTTTAGTGAAAATTTTTGTTGTGAAAAAAAATTATTAAAATTTTTTTTTTTTTATTAAATATTAAATTGAGATTATTGAGTGATTAAAATTTGAATAATTTGTAAGAGAGGGAGAGGTGAGAGATCTGAGGGAATCGAAGAACACGTTTATACTGAACGATTCTGTGGAGAGAATATAAGAGACCTTAAAGCACGAAGCCAATGTAATTTTAATACTTAATTGGATATAAGAACGCGGTCGACTCTGCAAAATCGTATACCAACAATGGATTGATAGAATTTGTCAGAATTTGTATTCTATATAGATATATACTTTGATTAATTCTTGTCATAGAAACTAATGAGAAAAAAATTCGTAAATTTACCAAAAAAAAAAAATTAAAGAATTTTTTTCTCGAATTTTGAATTAAAATTAAAATTAAAATTTTAAATTAAATTTAAATTTAAAATTAAAATTAAAATTAATAAAAAATTATTTAAAATTAAATATAAAATTAAAATTAAAATTAATAAAAAATTATTTAAAAATAAAATTAAAATTAAAATTAATAAAAAATTATTTAAAATTAAATATAAAATTAAAATTAAAATTAATAAAAAATTATTTAAAAATAAAATTAAAATTAAAATTAATAAAAAATTATTTAAAATTAAATATAAAATTAAAATTAAAAAAGATTTGATTAAAAATAAAAAAACGAATTTTTATAAATGAATTTTCAATTTTCTTTTTTTGTTAATTAAATTTTTTTTCAGAAGAAAATCGTTTAAATATCATACTACTTCTATTACCGAATTTCGAAATATAAAGTAAATGTTTATTTGAATTAACCACAGTTTCATGTTGATTAAATCATTAATTTTGCAAATATAGTGACATTTTATTATATCACGAAGCAATTTTCTCCTTATTTGTATTTCATCTCAATTCTATACTATATAATCAGGATATATAAAGAATCTTTCGCATAAAAAAAGTTAATTAATGTTTTTTTTTATAAACACAGAAACTTGTTTTTAAATTAATTTTAAACTTTCTAGAGAGGGATGCTATGAAAAAAAATAATCATAATTAAAAACACTCGTAATTGTCATGTTTAGATTTATAATTCATTTAGTTAAATTTTTCTCGAGAGAATATATTATTTCTCTTTTTTTTCTTGTTGTCAAGAAATAGGTAGTAATAAAAAAATGGATTGTTTCAATTTTTTTTTTATATTAATTAAATTATAATATAATTTTTATAAAAAAAAATAAAATATAAATTATTGCAATTTAAAAAAAAATATTATATAATTTAAAAAAAGAATTAATAATATTATTTTTTTATTATAAAAATTAATATATTTTATATAATTTTTATATAAAAAAAAAATAATTTTTATTATAATTTTTTCCAAACGTAAAAAAAAATTTTTATTTTTTAAAATACGAAATTTTTTTTAAAAATTAAATTAAATAGAAAAATTTTGTTTATGAAGAGAGAAAGAGAGTGGATATAAGGGAAACTATTAATGCTTTCTTAAGCAAGTGGTTGCTATGTATGTGTGTGTGAGAGAGAGAGATTGTCATTTCTGTTTTCATAATGAAACTCTTACTGGAGCAAGGTTTTATGTAACAATAAACACATTGTTAACTCAACTATTGTTTGTTGCCTACGCTTCAAAATCTCATTACGTTTACAAACAAATTTAATAGGAATATGAAAACAAAGTAACAGTTTATTCTGATCCATTTCTAATCCCCCCCCCCTCTTTAAAAAAATAAAAAAAAAACAATTTTTTTATCGCAAAGTTGTGCAACTAAAATCACTTTTTTAAATCCTTTTCAATCTTTTAAAACTTACATCATCACCTCTATAAGTGATTGGAATCAATTTACGTCAATCTCAATTTTTTTTTTTTTATAAAAGTAGCGAAAATTTATTTTATTAATAATTAATAAATTAAAATAAAATAATAAAATTATTAATTAAATTAATATTAATAAATTAAAATAAAATACCTAATAAAATTATTAATTAAATTAAAATAAAATAATAAAATTATTAGTTTAAATTAAAATTAATTTAAACTTAAAATAATAAACAGATTTTAAATATTTATTTATTATTTATTTAATAATTCAAAAATTATTATAAACATTAATATTGATAAAATTAATTTTTTTTTTTTTTGCTCTTTATATATTTGATTTTTTTTTTATTTTGGAATTAAGCCCATAAACCACCCATACCCTCTATTATTCCACTTTCGTTTATTACACACAGTTTGTAATTTGAAACTGGAAATAGCATTTTGATTGGATTTATTTATTTAAAATTTTGTTAATTAAAACAATTTCAAGTGTAATTTATAGAGCTTATAATAATTATTTAATCCACATATAAATCCGTTTAAAATTTAACGATTAAAATTATAATAAATAAGTATAATTAAACCATAAAATATAATGAAATAAAAAATATACTTTATTTTTAATTAAAAAAAAATTAAATTAAAAAATTAATTTTGATTTTAAATTAAAAATTTTTAATTTTTAAAAAAAGTATCTAAAAAATAGAAAAAAAATTAACTTTTATATTTAATCGAGTAGAGAATGAGTTGCGTGACCAATATTTTATTAGCGCAGAAGGAAAAGGAAAAATATTTTTAATTTCACATATATATATATATGGCTAAAAAAATTGATTTTGATTGAACTTGGGATATAAAATAAAAAAGCTAACTTTTATTTCGTCTCATAAAAAAAATTTCCAATCATAAAAAAATTGTATTTTTCCTAGATTTTTTTTTTAGTATTTCATTTACGATTTGAAGAAATACTATTTTCACATATAAAAATTTATTTGAAAATTAGACGAAGTAAAAGTAAAAAAAAATGTTTACATGAAATTTATATTTTTTTTCAAAATAAAAAAAAAATTCACATAAAAACCGCAAAAAAAAATCTAGAAATATACTAAAAACTTTTGAAACCAAATTTTTTTTTTTAAAGCTTTAATAAAATAAATTTTCAACTCTAAAGTCTGTGTGTGTGTGTAAATTGAAGTAAGTTTCATGTGAATTTCACTCTTCGAAAGTTTAGAATTTCTAAACATGAAATTTTCGCAATTTTGACACGTGCTATTTGTAAAATACTTTCGTGAAATTTGTTAATCGATTTCTGTTATGGGCGTGTAACGTAAATTATATTATAATCTACTTTAAAGGGAGATGTTGCAAAATTTTCATATTAAAAAACAAAAGAAATATAAAAAATGGAAAATAAAGAAAATATTTTAAATTAATGCTTATGTAAATTTAAATTAATTGAAAAATAACTAATTAAAAAAAATTCAGTTTTTAGGTTATTTTAAAATAGTTAAAATTTTCCGGTAATTAAATCAATTAATCAAATTTGATTTTTCAATTAATTTTCCAACGAAAATTGATTGCTTTTTTTTTAATAGTTAATTATTTTTCACTTTATTTAATTTAATTACTTTAAAGTATTTTTTATTTAAAAAAAGTTTTTTTTTTAATTTTATTTAATAATTAGTTATTTTATTTAAAAAACGAATTTTTTTTAATTTTATTTAATATTTAGTTATTTTATTTAAAAAACGAATTTTTTTATTTTATTTATTAATTAGTAATTTTATTTTAAAAAAAGTATTTTATTTTATTTTATTTAATAATAAATTATATTAGTCAACTAAAATTTTACTTACACTTTTTTTTAACTAATGCAGATTTAGATATTTATTTATCTATTTATTTATTCAGTATACGGGACAAGATATAGTTTTTGTAATATTTTATTAAACAAAGGATCTATAATTTAATTTGCAATTAAAAAAAAAATTCCTTTTTTTCCTCCGAAAATCGATAAAATACATTCTTTCAATTGCAATAAAATATTTTAACAAATTTAATAAAATAAAGAGTAATATTATTATAAATTTTAAATTCTAACTGAAAATCAGAGAAAAACAAAAT